CTCCATACTGTTTTCAAGAGTGGCTGCACCAGCTTGCATTCCCATAATTCTTAATTTTTTAATTGCTACACATTGATTTTATAAATGTAAATAAAATTAAATTTGTTTTGAGCACTTTTTGAGACTTCTCTGTTACCTTTGAGATAAATAGAGATATTGTTCCTTGTTTTAATACCACCTATTTTGAAAAACTGGAATTTGTTTCCTTTGGTACTGAAATGATAACATTATCCATTTCCTATATTTTAATGGTTTAAAATGCAGTTAGGAAATTAAACTATGTTGTTATGCAAAAAAAGACATATGAACATATGTACCTATATACAAAAACTTCAGTTTTTAACTATCAACATGTTATATACACTGTTTAACCTAATGCTTTAAAAGCCAGGTATGGGATTAATTTCACAAAACACACATATAAATGTAGGCCCTATTTACTATGACATATTAATTTGCAAACCAATACATTTTAAAGATTGGAGTAATTTAAAATTAATTTCTCTAGACGAAAACTCCCTATACTGGTCCAGTTTTGCAGCTGAAGAATCTAAGCAGGACACTGCATTTAAAATCTTGCTACAAGTGCCAGATAGTAATTTTGGTTATTGTACAACAAATACAGTTAATAAAATAATTATTTATGTTAAATACAAATCAATAAAAATATTTTCTTCCTCATTCTGATTCTGGAATTAGAAATAACTTGCCATTTTTTTCACTCTCACAAGGGAACAGTTATGGTTAAAAAAAATAGACATATCATTTCATCACTTGACATTTTTATAAAATGGTTGGTTCTTCTGTTAAGGAAAAAAAAACTAATTCCCTTCCAAAACATATTTCTACTCATCCATATGCCAATTGACTACTTCAGGATACATCAATTCAAATTTATGCCCGATTAAATGATTAAAAATAATAACAGTATGAATCAATATATTTATATGCAAATATTACTATATTACAAAGTTAAGAATAATTAGGCCCAATTTATAAAAAATATTTAATTTAGAGGTACCTGGGTGGCTCAGTCAGTTAAGCATCCGACTCTTGGTTTCGGCTCAGGTCATGATCTTACGGTTCATGGGTTCGAGCCCATGTCAGGCTCTGCGCTGACAGGGCGAAGCCTGCTTGGTATCCTCTCTCTCTCCGTCTCTCTCTGCCTCTTCCCTGCTTGCATTGTCTCTCTCTCACTCTCTCCCTAAAATAATAAACTTATTTTTTTAAGTTTATTCAACAGGGAGAGAGCGTGCACTCACATGAGCAGGAGGGACAGAGAGAGAGGGAGAAAGAGAATCCCAAGCAGGTTCTGTACTGTCAATGCAGAGTCTAACACCAGGCTTGATCTCACAAACTGTGAGATCATTACCTGAGTTGAAGCCAAGAGTCGGACACTTAACTGACTGCTTAACTAACCACCCAGGCACTCCTAAAACATATTCTAGTAGTCATGACTTTAGCAAAATTTTGACAGAAATAATTATACATAAAAATAAAAAGCAAACACTTGTGGTACCAGTTACTAACTTCTATTTTGATAATAAAATTACTCTTTGATAGTAAACTACACTATTTCTCTAAAGTGTAAGTACTCTCACTATCCAAGTGACTATGGTTCAGAGTTTGGAGAATGAGAACATGAATAAAGAAGAATATTGCATTATCCAAATTCTTTGGTTCCTGGGTTTTGGATAGTGATATTAAGAGTGATCAGCCCTATCTAAAACAATTTATCTAAACATATTAGGTTCTACAATTTAGTTGATAATAAGTTTGACAGTGAGAGTTTCCCCCTAGTTTTTCACTTCTAACATCATCTGAACATTACTGATCACCATAACCATAATATTAGTATATTAATTAAGCTTTTGACATCTGGGAGAGCTAATATGATCATAACTGCTCTTTAAAATACCAATTTAGCATACAAAAACAATTTAGCAATTTTATACTACCCCAAGTGGTATCAAAGGCAAAATCTGACCTATTTTTCACTAATGAGAAAACTGTATCTGCATATTAAAGTTGTCTTTAGGAAAACTGAAAAGGGAAAAAGTATAAATAAGTATATTTCAATGTTTGAACAATAAATGGTTTTATTTCTTAAAACCTTAAAATGATCAAGTTCTCCTACACACAAAAAATAAAATTATAGGAAAAGTTTAAACATGGCTTTGGGACCCTAATTGTTTTTAAAAAGTTATATTTTTAGTTATTCAATAACTACTGGACATAAAACTGTCAGGTCCTTCACATACATTTGCTAAAGATCAAGGAATGCACAAACAACAAACAAACAAACAAACAAACAAAAAACAACCAAAGGTAAGAAAGTGGAAGAAGGGAGCAAAGAGAAGAGAGAAGGGAGGAAATATAGGAAGACAAGCAGCAAATAAGAAAGGAGGGAAAGAAGGGTAAGATAGGAGACAGGGAATGTAGGAGGATACACTAAATATTTCTAGGTATAAGGAAAGTAAAATTTCTAGTAAATCATTATTGAAAAAGAGATCATTGTTGCTGATTTTAACAATATAACAGCTAGAGAAGTTATTTTGCTTTTCCCTTGCAAAGGAGAGAAAAGATGCTGATGAGGAATATGGTAATAATGCAAGGATATACTGAAGAAAAGCCTCTGTGTAGCTGCAAAAGGCAGGAATACAATTAATGTATGGGAAGTTCCTGAGAGATCTATTTCAAGTTCATAGAAAGAAGAATTTTCTAAAAAGTAAAGTTGCATAAAAACGTAATGGATTGTTTTCTGAGTGGTGCGTTATCCATGACTGAAGTTGTTTGATATGGATAGATGACTGTTTGCCAGAAATGCTTTAGATGACCTAGTTCGTAGGACACTGGATATAATGGAGTATTTTACATATGTTGCAAAATACATGTGTCTATATGTCTATGTATCTGAATATTCCAATCTAAGGATATGGTGAAAAGATCATTCATTCTTTTCATACCAGTTTCAGCAAGAAGCTAGCTACAAGACATTAAATGAAATGTTTTCCTTATTTTCCTTTTCTGATCTTAATTATAAAAATTAGAGACTGAAATTGATAGTCCCAAAAATTTCATTCCAGGGGTGCCTGGGTGCTCAGTGGGTTGAGCTTCAGACTCTTGACTTCCATTCAAGTCATGATCTCACAGTTTGTGGGTTCAAGCCCTGCATTAGGCTCTATGCTGGCAGTGTATGGCCTGCTTGGGGTTCTCTCTCTCTCTGCTCCTCCCTCTCTGCCCCTCCCCTGCTCATGCTCTCTCTCTCTCTCTCTCAAAATAAATAAATAGACTTAAAAAATTTTTCATTCTATATTCCTCGTGAATACAAAAGCAGGTACAATAAGGATCATTTTTTTTTTTTTAAAGAAAATGATACAAGGAAGAACAGTTGTTTTTTTTTTAATGTTTATTTTTGAGAGAGCGGGGGAAGGGCAGAGAGAGAGAAGGAGACAAAAGTGAAGCAGGCTCCAGGCTCTGACCTGTCAGCACAGAACCCGATGCGGGGCTCAAACTCACAAACCGCAAGATCATGACCTGAGCTGAAGTTGGAGGCTTAACCGACTGAGCCACCCAGGTGCCCCAAGGAAGAAGAGTTATTAAAACATTCAAGTTTCATGAGATCTAAATTCCAAATTCAGATTGGAATTCAGATTTTACTATTGTTTAAATATGTAATTAGTACAAACCTTCCCTTGGAATTACACTGACCTGTTGTCACCAGTGATGCACACGGCACAAGTTCCTGTTGTTTGCTCATTTTGCTCATAGTAATGAGCATCCACATGGGCTTCAGCAGCTTTCTTCTTCAAAATCTCTCCAAATCTATCTATCCCAATGCATCCAAAAAATGTTGCTGCTTTGTGTGGCTGCTGAATCATCCACTGAAAAACAGGAACATAAATAATTTTAATGGCTCAAAAATATGGTACACATAGAATGGTGGCATAGAAGGGATGCTTTGTTAGATGCTGTGGCTGTTATGAATGGAATTCCAATCCTGTACTAATGCTTATGATAAATGTGATGTAACAACCACATAATATCTTATGCTACTTTTAGGGAAAAAATAGAACACAGTAGTTAAGAACTCAGAATCTAAAGTCATAAAGATTTTCGGTCAGTGCTAACTTGATATAGAAAATTAATGGTGAGTCGCAATAGAAGTATAGTAGCATTGTCATTAAAAGCCCAGGCCCTATAATGAAGACTATCTGGATTCAAATCTTGCTTCTGCTATTTACTACCTAAGTAAGAGCACGTCACTTAGCATTTCTTTACCTCATTTTCCTCACCTATAAATGGAAAAATAATTATAGGTACACCTCATGACAAATAAACAACTTAAGTTTATGCATTGTTGAGCACATTACCCAGTACATAGTAAAAGATATATATTAGCTGTGGTCACTATTATTTTCATACTTAATTCATATATAAATTAAGCTAAACTATGATTAAGTCTAATTGTTTTAAAAATTCAAAACTAGTGTTAAAAATTCTAATATCTCAGTTTCAGTAGTCTTGAACTTTAATTTCCTTGCTATAAAATGACAATGGATTGCTTTTAAAATATATGTTTTTCACTGATATGAACTGTCATCTTTCATAATTAGCTCAAATTCCTGATTTTTCTAATACTTATAGTATCTATTTTAACACTGCCATCTATTTTGTTTCTAACACCAATATAAACAAAAAATCCCATGTACAGTCAAGACAGTAAAATTTTACACATTGCCAAATATTTGAAGTATAAAACAAATGCATGTATAATATGAAACAACATACGCATAAGTACTCTTTCAGACATCACTTGTAATGCCAAGATGTGAGAAATAAGCTAAATGCCCATCCATACAAAACTGGTTAAATAAACTGATAAATCCTCTCAATGGAACACCATACAGCAACTTAAAAATAACCAAACAAGGAAAAGCTTGGAAACAAGCTTTTCCAAACAAGGATTTTCCAAACAAGGAAAATCCATCTATATGGAGTAACTGCCAGGATATTTTGTGAATATTTAAAAAAAAAAGAGCAGAGTTCAGGGGCAGCTAGGTGGCTCAGTCAGTTAAGTGCCCAACTTCAACACAGGTCATAATCTCATGGTTCATGAGTTCCAGCCCCATGCCAGGCTCTGTGCTGACAATGCAGAGCCTGTTTGGGGTTCTTTGTCATTCTCTGTCTCTACCCCTCCCTCCCCACCCCCCATTCACACACATTCTCTCTCTCTTGAAAATAAACATTAAAAAAAAAGAGCAGAGTTCAAAAGTGTGGGTCTGTAGGTGTAAATGTATGTTTTAAGAGACAGTGAGAACTAAAATCATATACAGTTAAAACCTTGGATTGTGAGTAACTTGTTCTGTGAGTGTTCTGCAAGATGAACAGTACGTGATGCCAAACCTCACATGATCACAACTGAGCCAATGGTTCTTTTCCCTCTCTCTCTCTCTCTCTCTCTCCCTCTCTCTCTCTCTCTCTCTCTCTCTCTCTCTCTCCTTCACTGTGGGATTGTGGGTGACTATCTCCCATATTCAGATGCTCAGTTTCAGGCCATGGGGTGTGGCAGAAATCAGTGACCTTTCAGGACGATGGAAGGTGCTCGCAACTCGCACTCTCTTTGTCACTTCAAAGCACCTACAGACAGTCCTTTGCTTTTCCATACAAGACTAAGCTTAGGAATGCTTTGAATGCTTAGGATATCATAAGAGTCTATTAATACTGTACTGTAGTCAACATCCGTGCAAATGTATACAATGGCCCCCATGCATAAGAAGGTTGAAAAGAAAGGCAGTAAGAAGAAGGAGATGATTACGGTGGAAATTAAGAAGGAAATCATTGAGAAGTACGAACTGATGGATCTGAATCGCGAAGAACAGCAAGAGGTTATGGAGGAGATCTCATCTACAGAGGAAGAGGAGGAAAAGGCAGAGGAATCCCTTACTTCAAATGAGATTAGGGAGATGTGTAAAATGTGGAAACTGCAAAATTTTGTACAAAAGAACCACCTGAATAAAGCTGTAGCAGTGCAAGCAATGAATCTGTTTAATGACAATGAAATGTCACATTTCCATGAAATCCTTAAAAGAAGGCAAAAGCAAGTGTCATTGGATAGGTTCCTTGTTAAAGTTGCATGAAAAGAAATCGATTCCATTGAGCCAATAGACAGCAGTGATTCTGTTAGTGATAGTGAAAGTCATCCTACACAATAACCCTCCTCTCTCTTGTCTCCCTCACACTAGCCACGAAGGTTTTCAAAAGTAAGGGCAAGTTAATTTGTTTATTTTTTACGTTATGTATTTTATCATTTTGTATTATATTACAGTACTGTAATCATTTTTATATGAATATTTTGGGGTTGTGGAATGAATCATCTGAGTTTCCATTATTTCCTATGGGGAAACTTACTTTGATATACAAGTGCTTTGGATTACAAGCATATTCCCAGAATGAATTATGCTCTAAAACCAAGATTTTACTGCATATCCTTTTAGTATATACACATACTCTTTTAGAATTTACATATAATTTTAAGTTTGCTTATTTTGTGAAAAAGAAAAACAGGAAGAACAAACCATAAACTAAAGAAAACGGTTTTCTATCAGGGTGAGTGGGAATGGAATAAAGAAATAGAAACAGAAGAAAGACTCTTCTGAATGTGACACTATATATAGAGTGGCCTTTTGAAATGTTAAAATTATACATTCTTGAAAATGTAATTCAATTTGAATTTGAAATTCATTTGGAAAAAAATGATAAAGTTGAATACAATAGAATCAAAGAAATTAAAGAAAATATCAAATTGTAACATAACCCCATAGGAAAAACGCAAATAACTTTCAACATACTATTACTTTTCAATGTACTAATATAAAGGAACAAAAACCAAAAATATTGGAGAACAGACTATTTGAAATTATTCACTCAGAGGAGCAAAAAGAAAAAAAAAGAATGAAAAAGAGTGAAGAGAGCTTACAGAACTTATGGGACACAATGAAAAAAAATATTTGAATTATGGGAATTTCAGAAGGAGAACAGGAAAAGGACATAAAGTATACTTCAAGCAATAAATGGCTGAAAACTTCCTGACCCTAGATATAGAAATAGATATTCAGATCCATGAGGCCCAAAAAGACCCAAACAGGCTGAATCCAAATAGGGCTATCCTGAGACACATTATAATTAACTTATAATTAAGTTGTCAAAAGACAAATAAAGAATTTTAAAAGCTGCAAAAGAGACAAGTTATATACAAGAAAAAACGCATATGATTATGGGTGGATTTCTCAACAGAAACTTTGCAGGCCAGGAGAAAATGAGATGAAACCTCCAAAATATTAAAAGAAAAAAAAAAAACCTGTTAACCAAGATTTCTGTATCCAGCAAAGCTGTGCATCAGAAATGGAGGGATAAAGACTTTTCCCCCAAAGAAACAAAAGCTGAGGAAGTTCATTACCACTAAACCTAGCTTATAAGAAATGCTAAATGGAGTTCGTTGAGTGGAAAGGATGCTAATTAACATCATAATAACATAAGGAGGTAGCATAAAACTCACTGGAAATGGTAGCTATGCCATCAAAGTTAGATTCTGTAATAGGGTAATTGTGGTGCATAATTTACTTACAACTTCAACTTCAGTTTAAGTTTAAAAAAATGAATGTAGTAAAAATAACCATAAACACAATAATCTGTTATTACTTACACAATATAAAGATATGTAAATTGTGATAGCAATAACCTAAAGTGTGCAGGGAGGAGAAGTGTACAATTTAGCAATTCTAATGAAGTGAAGTTGTTATCAGCTTAAAATAGGGCATTATAATTTTAACATATTTTATATAAGCCTCTTTGTAACCACAAGGGGAAAACTTGTAGCAACTACACAAAATAACATGATAAAAAAGCAAAAGTATACTGTTACCAAAAGACATCAAAACATGAAAAAAGACAGCAGGGTAAGAAATAAGGGACAACATATCTACAAAACAATCAAGGAACAATGAACAAAAATGCCAACAGTAAGTCCTTAAGTATTAATAATTATAGTAGTCTCCCCTTATCTGCAGAGGGTATGTTCCCAGATCTCTGGTGGATGCCCAAAACTGCAGATAGTACTGATCCCTACATATATTATGATTTTTCCTATACATACATATCCATGATAAACTCTAATTTATAAATTAGACTCAGCAAGAGATTAACAGTAACTAACAATGAAACAGAAAAATTATAACAACATAACTGTAGCAATAGTTATGTGAATATCTCTCTCTCTCTCTCAAAATATGTTATTGCATTTTACTCATTCTTCTTCTTGGGATGATGAAAGATGATAAAATGCCTACATGAGATTAAGTAAGGTGAATAACAGGCACTGTGACACATGGAATTATGTTACTGTTGATATCTTGATGATATGACAGGAGGAGGATTATTTGCTTCTAGAACATGGTTGACCACAGGTAACTGAAACTGTGGACAGGGGGTGAGGGGAATACTAATGTACTTTAACATAAACAGATTAAATTCTCCAATCTAAGGACACAGGATGTCTGAAAA